CTGTTTGCAAGAACTTCTGCAACCTTTTCCAAGCTCCTGTAAAGGGTTCTCAAATTGGGTCTTTGGAGTCTTGGGACAATATCTTGGATGGGATCTTGACAGCTTGCTGTTGATGGGAAGTGAAGCCCGTGCAGCCTTGTCAACAGTCACCGGTAGTGAAATGTTTGTTCCCTGTTGCTCTCTGTTTGCTACACTGATTTTCCCACCCTTGGGGTGGGTTTTTAGCCACTTGCCTAGAGTTGCGTTGCAGTGATTGTTTCTGGGGGAGTCCTGCTTGGTTTGTGTAGCAGCATGCCCAAGGCTTGTCTCCTTTCAGAAATAATTTCTTGGTTCTTCTCTACCACACTTCCTTAGAGATGGCAGATACCAGACAGATCATGGTGCTGAGCATGACATGTGATTTGTACAGTGTGGGGAACGGGAAATCACTGCTTTTTGGGGGACACAGTCCACTAACACTAGAGCAACTAGAAGAGATTTTGTTACACATTAACTACAAGGGCAGGCCACCAATGGCCATATTCAGCCTCCCTCATTTACATGAGCGGTATCGTTGGGATTGAATGAGACATGAGGAAGTTGGAGACAATTCCTCGTGCAGTAAGATGCTCTTCAGTAGGAGGAAGACTGCCAAAATCTGACCCCTTAATAAAAATATTTGGAATAACTTTATTGCATATTAAGATGCAGTGCTATATTTAATTCTGTGTTTATTTTGAACTGAAGCAGTACTTTGAAAGAGAAAAAAGGTGAGAAATATCAATGACAGCTGCTGAAATGATTGTTTTGATTGTCATGCTGGACTCGGAGTGGATTCTGAAGTTCCCACTAGCAAGAAGAAGATTTATGTCAGGACCAGTGCGCGTGGAAGTTGAGGGAAAGATTCACATCATGCCTAATTTAAGGCAATGCAAGGCAAGAGCTTGTAGTTGGTTGTTCTTCATAAGCTACATACTACTGTAACAGTAGACATTTACAGGGCAGAGAGAGAAGGTCTGGGAGCTTTTGGCACATAGGACAACCAGGGGGAGCTCATCCTGAGAACTGCTCCCCACCACTCCTGTAGGATATAAATACATGGGACTTACACGCGGTTGAACAAATGCTCCTGGATGGACCTGCGTGGGGTTAGAGCCTTGGTTCTGCATTCTCGCCAACTTCTCTGAGCTCTGGGAGGCACAGAACAAACTGTGGAAGTCTTTCTGGGATCTCTTTCAGTCATGCTGGAAGTGGTGATATAGCACAGGATTGCCCCAGTTCCACTGGTGTTTTAGCAGCACTCTGAAGGGCAGAGGCTTCTGTAGGTTGTTTTAACATGATAACAACTCTCTAATGTCTTGAGATATCTCTCTAATACCTAATAGCTCTAGCATCCCCTTGCAGGAGTTTCCATGAAAAGCCTTTGGAAACTCTGTTTGAAACTACAACTTCAGGTTAACAACTCCTGGTAGAACATCAAGCTTCCAGAAGAGGCCAAAGGAGATGGGTTTTACAGGATCTAGCAGATTTCTTGTAAGTTGTGAGTGCTTTTGAAATGATAGCAGACTATTAGCAAAGGCAGCTCTGTCAGGAAAGGTTTTGACATCAGTTGCATTAAGAGAACATTGTCAAATAGGTTCCTGAGATGGTTTATAGCCTTTACGACTATCCTAACCGTGTTCCTTTGAAGGTGAAATCGGGGTCTGATTCCTGGCTCATCTTACAGTGAGAAAACCCATCTCCTTTCACCTGGCAATCCTTTATTGATTTTCTTTTCTTGTTACTAATGGTGCTTGAAAATAACTTGAAGTTTATATCTGTTGCCTTATGCCTGTGCTTGCACTGTGTCTGGTGTTTTGATATTTCTGAAAATAAGCTTTACTGCCTGTTCACACACCATCTGTTGGCTTTTAGAAAAGGTATTAGGTATGACTTGCCCGATAGTCAATGAGTCTCTTCACATCTGCCTACAATCCCCTTCTAAAGCCTATTGGCCTGTGCTATTCCTGCGTCTCCAAAATAATAGTGTAACAGGGCAGATCCTGGGTAAGTGCCACATTGCATGGATAAGTGTGGGTACACAACCTAGCACAGGAATAATGTTTATGGGACCTGCATTAACAATGGCTACTTTTAAAACATATATTTTTGTGCAAGAGAAATTAAAAACAAATGGAGTGCAGAGGCCATTTCTCAGTGGATTGTGACCACCCTCCCTCCCTTGCAGCTCCCAGATGTCAAATTTTGGTCACAATCAGCCTGAAAAACTTGAAATTTTACTGCCTCACAAACTTGATGTGCTTAGTTTTGTAAGTGCTTTTGTAATCTGCTTTCGCTGCTATGCAATGATTTGTGCAGGGTGCTGCCGTTTAATACATTAGGACAGTAGCATTTTAGCTTCTACATCACCATATGTTTTTTAGTTAATTTTCCTCAAACCACTGCAGTTACATTAACGCTACAACTTCCTATTTGATTTTTGATTTTATATGCCTATCCTATGCCATCCCATTAGTATTAATAGGCACCCCTGATACTCGGTGGCACACAAAAATATCATTTTATTATTTGTGGCTTTCTCTGATGCGTGCCGGGAATGCTATATTGCACTTTTCCAGTGTGCTCATTATTTTATGATAAGCTCAGCTGTCAGTCTGGATTTCTATTTCCTCTGTATTTTGTGAAGCTCTAAGAATATTTGGCAGCTCCAACCTGAGTGTTTGCATTGCGCTTCAGCTAAAACAGACTTCACTTACTTTAACCAGAGATTTGTATATAGGCTAGCGCTCTACAGCAACCTACATGAGCTAAACGAAGTAATAATCCTATTCTATTTCCACTGAAGTAAATGGTAGCACAGCAAAGCTCTAATTTTCTCTGAAATCTGTTGAAAGGTTTTTTTTTTTTGGTTTCAGTGGACTTCTAGTCATGTTGTAAGCCAACAAACATTACCTAAATATTTATTTATTTAATCCACTCCTAGTTCCTCGTACTCCCCTAATATCTCTTTACATGTTACAGTTCAGCTGATTGCCAGTGTCCCAGCTGTACGAATACTCACTGCTGTACGTGGGGACGGCAACGCAGCCTCTGTGGCACGACACGAACTCCTTCACCGGGCTTCAGCACTGCCCTCGCTCTGAGCTGTGCTGTATCAGCCAGTCCATTTGAAGCAAATGGCTGGGACATAATAAAACCAAACATAAAATATGCACAAAGAGTGCCAACAGTGAGGAAATCTTTCTTTTGTCTGTCTTTGATTTAGCACAACTCTATTTTCATCCATGCTTCTGTGCAGTGGGAAAGAGATGGTGAGTGAAAGCCTGCTGGGTAACAGCAACAAGGTATCTGCCTCGAATTTGATCACGTTTGTCAGAGGGAACTGTTGATTTCTTCCTGGAAACATTTTGGGGTGTCAGGGCCTGGTTTCTGCAGGTGTCCATGGTAAATAGAATTCGTGCTAAAGGAGGAGCTTGGATCCATAAGCCTCAGTGACTGCAGGATTGGGCACTGCATCGTGCTCGTTCCCTTCTCTGCACCAACGGTGCAGTTCCCCTGGTCTTTGCTCCGAGTAACACCCGATCTATAATTCACCACTAATCACGAGAGTTTTCCGGTTGCATGTGTGTACTCAGCCACCTGCAGTGCTTCTGGAGAGGAGCAGGCTGGCCGTCCCCTGGAGTGGGGTGCGGGGGGGCGCAGGGCACGTGTCCCTGGGGTGGGAGGGTGCACGGCTGTTACTTGTTACTCCTAGCACTTCTGGAAACACTGATTACAGACGCTGCTTTTGCAAGGAGTTACATCAGAGGTGTTGAAATCTGTATTTGCTGGCACTGTGATTTTCTGCTTGAGGAATGAAATCCATAACAAGAAGACAGTCTCATGGCATTGCCAGGGTACCCGAGGGCAGATGCAAGTAACAAGACACCCTTCGAGTTCACCTCTGAGCGTCTGTTTTGCTGTGATGTGCAAAAGTACAGGCTCCCTGGAGAGGCTTTAGTGAAAAGGCATGCTTTCTTCAACAGCAAAGAGAGCTAACAGGCAGCTTCCCTTCCCTTAAGGTCTGGACTTCCCACCTCTCTGCTGTCGGCTGCAGCCCATCATCTGCGACTCATGTGAAAGTTCACTCCTGAGGACTGCAGCCGTGCTGCAACTTAAGCAGCACTCACAGGAATGAAGATGGAAAAACAGGAGCAAAGAAAGAAGTAATGAAGGGGAGGAGGGAGACTACAATAAATCAGCATGTTTACAACTCCACTTTGATCAGGTTTTTTACATGAGATACTCCATAAAAAAAAAAAAAATCTTAAGGCAATTGGATCACCTTAAAGCACTTGAAGTCAGTATGACCTTTGGCTTTTTGGTTTTTGCTATTTTCATCTGCTGGGTGAGATGTAGAAATCCAGCTGATCTATAAGGTAAATTGTCAGTTGCCATGGCAATGTGTCTCGTTCATGTTCTCAGTTTGGAAGAGACATTGTTCCACGCTGCTATTTCATGTCTAGGGCAATATTCTTTGGTGCCAGAATTTCTTTGTTTCAGTACATTAATGCTACAACTCTGTTCTTCCTTTCCCAGCTTATAGAAACATGGCTCAGCCTGAACATTCCCCTGTTAAATACAGTTATTTGCATTTTTTTGTTGTCAGAACATTCCTTAAGTCTGGAGGTAAATGTTGATCCATTTTGATAGCTTGGGTGCAGCAACATACTGATGCTGTGAAGTTTCACCATTAAGTGAAAACAAACTGGAATCACTCCACCTTTGCTTCCATGTAGTTTGAACAAATTAAAGTATATCCTGAATCAGTGAGTCTTAGAAAAGAAAAGTAATTTAAAAGTACTTCCTACCTATAGTGTGTATCTTACATATTAGATTTCTACAGATCTCCATGTGCTTTCAGTCAATTCAGATTCAATTCCTAAGTACTGCAAATTCCTAATTTTGATCAATTCTTGCTTAAGGCCACGAATGGAGTTTCTCTTGTTTCTTTTACCACCTTTAGTTCTTTGTTTTTCTTCACACCACCTTCACCTTATTTCTAAGGTGAAGAGTCAAGCAGGAGCAGGCATCCTGGTGTCTGTTGGCTCAGTGCAGCCTGCAGTAGTGGGAACAGGCTGCATACAACTCTGGAGGATTAGGAAAGCACAGAGACATGAGTTGGCCTAGTGTGGTACAGCTTGGAGGTTTCACAGAACGGAGGGCTCCTATATTTGGGTAAGAAGGACCCCTTTCTGGTCATGTTCCCCATTTCAGTTGCATGTGACCTTCATTGCCTTTCTAACCTGCTTGGTTTCATTGAACTCATCCCGTTTTTCTTTCCAAGTGACTTCACACGAGGGTGCAGCAGCTGTGGCACTTCGCACAACGCTTCTTCTTCTTCTTGGGGTGGAAAATGGTCAGGATTGCCTCATCGAAGACAGTCTTAAGGCCTTTCTGCGTGAGGGCTGAGCACTCCAGATAGCACTGTGCTCCGATCTGAAAGAGAAGAGAGAAAGCGTGAGTACCCACTGTTGGGAGAGGCAGAGCGACCCTGTTCCAGCATCCTTCTACATGCGTATATGTCCTGCCACAGAGGGAAGCCCAGACCTTTAGAAAGGGGGTCAGGTCGTTGCTCTCTTTTGTATCTGGCTGCCTAAGGGACAAGCTCAGGTGCTCATCCTGAGCGAGGGAGCAGGGATGAGCATCAACACCAGGGCCTGTAATAGTACCTGCAGCATATAAGGTGGAAATGGCTGGGGTCCAGATGCCTGCATTTCAGGGCTTGGAGAGGCCTTTTATCCCCCTACCTTCCCGGGAGAAAGAAACCTTGGGAACTCCTTCTCTGCTGCTTGAAGTGCAATGGATAAGTGAGAATCAAGCTGCCTGTGCTTTTGTAAGGGATAGGGACGAGTTTGGCAGGAGGCGACTGCAGAGAGGGGTTTGCCACACACACCTCCTGGCAGAAACCTGAACAAGAAGCACTTGGCTTAGGTGAAGTAGGGAGTAAAACCTGTTTTGCTGCCCATTTGCCATCTGCTGCCCTGTGTATCTTGCTGCTTTGCTTAGAGCTCAGTTGGGTATCGCAGCAGAACAGCAGGCTTGGGAGCTGCAATCTGTGTTTGGGTCCACCCTGTTTTAACAGAGGCTTTAATCTCTGGCTGGGACCAACCAACGTGCCCCAGAGGAGTTCACCTTGAATGAAACAAACCCAGTGGAAAGCTGTGATCAATCGATTTCATGGGACCTCAGAAAAGGTATTACCTCCTTTGCTAGCTTCACTCCGTGCTCGTAGGTGAGTGGTTTCTCCTTCATGTAAAGCAGCCGAGCCAAAGTTTTGGGATCATCCCGGAGATCAATCTAGTAGAAAAGGCACAAACCTTGTGCTCAGTATTGCCTTGCTGTAATTCTTGAGACAGATACTCGTAGCTTTACAAACCCACAGTCATGTCCTTACGTAAGGGCATCTGTCCTCCTCGCCTCAGATGATACTTCAGAAATGTATTGCACATGTATTTTCCTTTTTTCTCTCTTTGTTTTCTTTTTCTTTTTTTTCTTTTTTTTCTGTTTAAGATGAATTAGTTCTCATTGGCACGTTATTGGGCCACAGCTCAGATAGCTGCGGTACAGTAAAAATGTGGTTCTCAATAGCCCTCACAATGCATCTTGGAAAGTGTTGGTGGAAGCCTGAGCCACGTTGGAAGGGGAGGCTGCTGCGACCCTGCACTGCATCACCCGAAAAACACCCTGACAGGCCAGACAGACGCAGCTCAGTCTGACTGACTTGAAACAAAATCCTTTATTTCCATGGAAAACATCAAAGTGAAGCATTCTGGCATTTCAAACCCATCCATTTTCACAGTGTGTGATCCAAAGGGTAATACTTTTATTTTAAAATGGGTGTTTTAGATTATTCCAGTGTGGAAAACAAAGCCAGTGTTTGAACGACTGGACTTTTCTATGGCATGAAGATTTTGGTTTCGACCAGAATTTGATCTGTTTTTCTAACTTGGCTTAGGTTACTGTCCAGCGTTCGGACATTTTCCAGACGGTCGTATCCCTGTTTCTCACAGTCTCTAGCCACTCTGTGTCTTGGAAGCAAACCCATATTTAAGGCATTTTTATTTGATTGATAGATTCATAGATTTTAAGGACAAAATAAAGTGGTTTGATCGTTTAGTCTAACATCCACTATAACACAAGCAGGACGGTGAGTCACTAATTGCAGTGTTGATGTGAAAGCATGAAGGGAGGCTATTTCCTTCCCATGTCTCTGAGTAAGTCATTTGGTTAATTATTCCCATTCTTAAAATTTAGTTTGAAGTTTAGCTTCTGCTTCTAACCACAGACTTTGATGGGCTTTTTTCCCTCAATAAAGGCCTGTCAGAAATCTTTTCTCCCTATAGGTATTTATGCCTTGATATCACATTAATATTCATTTGAATAAAAAATGGGATGAATTTTGCCAGTCATGACTAGCATGATGGGACATCTGCGTGTTGGTTTCCATTCCCAGTCCCTGAGTTTTCCTCCAAAGGGGAAGACTGGCTGAATTTCACATGAGAAGTTAAACAGGAAACCTTTCCAGAGACCTCAGCCTTCAGCCACCCCTGGGGTGGAGTAGGAGCCCCCTTGCTCTGAAGACCCCCACGATGAAGACCTCCCAGCAGGGCCCCGGTGGAGCGTTACCTGTGTTCCTATGAGGACATAAGGCACGTTGGGCATGCAGACTTTCAGCTCGGGCACCCACTCCTCCTGGACGTTGTGGTACGAGGCGGGGTTCACCACCGAGAAGCAGATCAAGAACACGTCCGTGTTGGGGTAGGACAGGGGTCTCAGCTGGTTGTAGTCCTCCTGCCAGGGGGAAAACAGCAAGTGTGTTATGGGGTGGGGGATAACTGCAGATGGGGGCATCACGTTAGCTCTTGATGAATTCCTTAGCACTGTCCCTCCATCCTCATGCATGCTCATAACCTCTAGGGAGCTGCTGAGCAGAGACACGTCCCGTGGGCCAGGGCTGCTGTTTTCTCAGCATCTTTACCCAAAAGAGCTAACACATTTTGTTTGTGTGTATATTATCCGTGGTGAGGCTGGTGTAGAGGGTAATGCTAAACAGTGGCCTTCACCGGTGGTGTAATAAAAATTGTTCTTGAGGCTCCGTGTACTGGCCTCAGTGCTCTGGCAATGCGATACCACCCTGGGAAGTACTATTTGACTGTCACCGCTAGCTAATATTTGCTGATGACACACATCTCTAATGCTTTTCTGTTAATATTATGGGCTTTCTATTCCCCAGTAGGCATTATAGATATGACCATATACAACAGATATGGGTCTCCGGGATATTTGGTGCCATCATAGTCATGTATGGTATGCAGCAATGTGTCAGTCAGCAGAAGACACTCATCTTGAAAGCACAAAGCAGATCAAATCCAGCCTGCAGTGGCTGGATAAATCACTGGGGGTGATTTAGTGTTTCCACAGGCCCTGGGCTGGGGAAGGAGAGATGTCTTCTCTTTGTGCTAGTTGTGAATGGGCTGGGGAAGGAGAGATGTCTTCTCTTTGTGCTAGTTGTGAAGAGGGTGAATTTTCAAACAGCTCAAAGCGCAGCTGTGTCATGTCATGAGCTGGCTTTGATAGCTGAGTTTCAAGGAAGAATTTGGGTCTGTTTTCAGGCTTGAGATGTTGAGACCGAGCAGAGTTTTTGCAAGCCATGTGAAAAGGATAGACTGGCTCTTTCTGATAGTGAGAGCATATGTAGCTGTGTCTGGTTGGTACTTTTCAACGAAACCTGTTAGAAAATTTCAGCACAACAAAACAGATACTTTTAGAGGGGATACACCTGTTCTGAAGACTTTTTTGGGGGTCCAGAATTAAAAAAGGGGAAAGGAACACAATGTTGGAGTGTGGGAAACGATAATACATGTTGCTGTCAAGCCTGACTGAGACCTAGGTCATTAGTTTACAGTTTCTGCATTCTGGGCAAGCCTCAAGTCTCTGCAGTATGGTCTTTTTTGCTTATAATTATCTGAAAATTCAACTGGTGCAGTTCTGCTTTGCAGATACTAAAATAGTCAATAACTCAATGAAAAGGAAAAAAAAAAAAGATATCCAGGTGCTGTTGCTCAGACTTGAGAACACTTATTTGAGGTAGGGAAAACCCACATTAGGGGCAGGAGCAATGCATCTGCTGTCTGTCCTGCAGGAGAAACTGATGCAGGACTATATCACTGTGTGCCCAGATTAGATGGTGTCTTAATTCAGTCTTGCTTCTGTCTTACTTTGGTTGGGTCAACAAATGAGAGGGCTTAATTATGAGTTGAGACTGGTAAATCTTCTTTCTGACATCTTTTGTTCACTGAGTATGCAGTGATAAGATGACCCAGACTACTTCTGAGTCGTCACTAGTTTCCGAAAAATACTAATGGATTATGTAAGAACAGTCTGCTCCAACCTTTTCTGAAAAAAACCCCATAATTATTTATTCTGAAAGGAAGTATGAGGCCAAATTTAGGTCCGTCTCATTAAAAAGAAGTTTAAAGAAACATCCTAAACCACAAACAAAATGTTTTGTTTTGTCTAAATGTTCACTGTCCCAAACCCACTTCAACAGGAAGAGTAAACTCCCAGGTACCACCTCCAGCCCCACAGCCACAGTATTTGGGGTGAAGGCAGAGTATTTGTTAACTGACCTATGTCCTTCCAGTATCATAGAAAGTATTGATCTGAAGAAGGATTTACATGACAAAAGGAGGTGTTCGGACATATCAGCCCAAGAAAGAGTGGATTCTCCACGTTCAAGGAATGGCAGGAAAGAAAACTCAGAGACGTTTGTGGGAACGTCAGTGATACAGGCCACAAAGAAGCAAAGTCTTTGGGAGGAGATTTATATAAGGCTCTGGAGATGACACCAAGCTCCCACAGGTGAGTTACCAGAGGCAAAGTGGATGCCAACACAATGGCAGCAAAGGAGCAATTGCATTATAGACAGCCAAGTTTTATGTGGATGCTGTGGGTGAGGGAGGCCTGGCCTGATGCCTGCCTGATTACAGGACATTATTTTAACCCAGAACATCAAACCTGATGACTTCTCTGAGATTATGCCACAGTCAACATGGGCTGATACTAGGTGCTTGGCAAAGGCATTTTCTGTGTTTTCAGTTTATTTTGCTGCAAATCAGCCTCCTAAAACACCCACGTGGTGGCAGCAAGCCCTCGAGGAATCGTGATTTTTGGAAAGAAATTGGCTAAATATAACCAGTTCCAATATTCCAGACGTGCATATTTAGAGGGGCTGGAACTTACTGTACCATTAAAATTACAAGCTAAAAGCCACGAGTGCTCTGCCTGGCGGTGACAGCTACAGGAGTGTGCATTTCATTTTATTTCTCTTGTTCCTTCGGAACCCCTAGAAAATCCTTTTTCAGGAGGAACGTTCCCGATTTGTGTTAGCAGCACGGAGCATTATACGAACCGTAAGGAGGGACAGCCACGCATCACGTAGCAGAGGTCTCGTCTCCCGTCAGGGCGCACGGGAGCTTGCACGGACATGTTAAAGCACAAGCACAAATGTCACGGGTAAGAGTTGATCAAAGCTCCTGTATTTCACGGTCTTTGCGGGCTGCCAGGAGCCTCCAGATCGCAACATACAAGGACCCTGTCTCTGTTCATACTTGCTCTCTAGGAGAAGGCTATAAAACTTTGCAATGGACTGTTATGAAATATCATCGAGATAATTTCTGATTTCAGAGACAGTTGGTTGTTGAAATCAAGCAAATAAATAGAGTAAAAAAGGGACTGGACATTTGCATGGGTATGGGGCATATCCAGAGGTGCTGCAGCTACTGACAGTGGTGTTTGGGAAGGGACGTGAGTCCTCGTGGGGTTGGCTGTAGCCGATCATTAATTTGTTTCCCTGGCTCATGCTTGCATTTTGCTGCCTGTTATTTAGGGAGTGCAAGGCTTCCCAGTTACACTGCCTGGCTAGTGGTTTGGCATGGAAATACCAGCATCAGACCTGGCCTTGCTGAATTACGTGCCTATGACTTGCCAGGGCCAAGAGGCATCAACCGGCGTTGCTCCCTCCCTGCTCTCTCGCCACCAGCAGCCTTGCAGCGCTTGGGCCCAGAAAGTACAGCAAAACTTGCTTTTTTTATGTTACTGCCGTGCTGGTCTCACGTACGCTCCCTGTCGTGTCAGCCCATTAAAGCACTCTGCACCTGAGTCCTGCCTGGGGAAAAAAGACCACTGGTTTTTTTCCTCCTAGGACTGTTTGTGCCAGGGATGCAGAAAACCAGATACCCCAGAGGTGAGGTCTCTGCCAGCTCTCTCTTCAGACTGAGAGGGTCCTGCTGCAGGAGTACATTTTCCAATTGTTATTTCATTAGCATGTGTTTTATAGCACCGTCATGTCAAATGCTATTTTTGGCTATGACTTCACACCAATGCCTTTGGAAAGCCACACAACACAAGGAGAAGGAGGGAGGAAACAACCCAGATGATCTGTTGTTATAGCTTGAGCATGTGGGAAGCATCATCCTTTCAGCCTCCACGGAGATACAATCTAGTCATCAAGAAGTGATTTGTGCTCTGAATTTTGACTAGATGGCCACGTCCTCTGGACCAAGGTCTGAAAGGGAAATGAGGCTGATGAGTTAGAAATGGTGCTTGAAGGCAGGTGGTGCTCTGGCTAGTTTGAAGCAGGAGATGGCAGAATGATTGTGGAGGGGTGATGTTTGTCAAAGAGACAGATTAGTGTTTCTTCTGGCTCAGGAGGACAAATAAGAGGATGTGTTGCTGAGGAAAGGGGTGGCAGGTGGAACTGTCAGCTCTATAGAACAAGCAGAAATATTGAGGCACTGGGTAAAATCTGACTGAGAACTCAATATAACTCCAGTCTTGTTTGCAAAAGCTTGTGGTGCTGCCAGATCATGACAGACACGCTCCGAGCTCTGCGTTTGTGAGCACAGAATAGAAAATTGAACATGCATTGAACATGGGACAAGGACTTGGGTCATATTTTGGGACTGGCTTTTGGATCATCTGTTTGCACCATGTAAATAGAAAGGATGGGTGGAGTGTAAGTGACACCAAGCTAGCCATGAAGTGACAGTGGCTTCCTACAGATATGTGATAGGAATAAAATGAAAAAAAGTGAAACCCAAAGCATAAAAGCCCCAGTGCTGCTGAGTGCAGGTTTTTCTGGAAGTGACAGTCTGTCCTGATGCAGTTTTTGACCTCTCTGCATATTGCTGCAAAGTATATTCTGTAATAAGTGGCCTTCTGCAGCCAGGAGGGTCTTCTGCATTGTTTATGCATTTCATAGCAGTCAGTCATGGCCAAAAAAAGCACAGCCAAGAAATGCTCCTGAAAGCAAAGCCCTGCATCCAGGGCTGCTGGGTCCCAGAGAGTAGCTCCCAAACCTGCTTTCCTCTCCCGCTGCCTCCAGTGACAGCACGTCCTCGGCTGCCCAGTGCCAGCTCTGACCGGAGGAGCGGGTGGATGTGGGTTCCAGCACTCCCAGGCTGGGAGGGACCTGGGACCTGCTCCCTCCTCTCTCGGCAGGTGATTTTCTGCAAAGTTTCTGTGCGGATGGTGGTCCTTTCTTTACTCTGCCAGTTGCTGGCATTGGGAGGTAGGAGAGGGAAATTTCACCATGAAATGTGTTGCTCCCTGTACCCTTTTCTGCCCTTTTACCGGCAGAACAAGGCAGTGAGAAATACTCTCTCCTCCTCTCCGGGGGGTGAAATCAGCCCACAGACCAGAGCTCTTCGCCAAACTTTTAGTGCAAGCACACTGTATCAGACCGTGGTCAGTGGAAAGAGTAAAAGCATTATATATGTAAGTAAGCATGGGGTACAGAGTCTCCTGTAATGGACACCCTTGTCCTAGGAGAAGGATGCAGGGATGGGTGCCAGGCTGGCTGGGTTACCATTTAAAAAGTCACTAGCTGGTGACCGATAGGCTGGTGCTGTATTATATTAATTTTCTGATCTTGGAAACGGGAATTCTTCTCTGTACCTTCAATGCCACCATGTGGTAAATGTAAGAAAACACTGACTTTGTATGAAACGTCATATTTGCAGTAGGAGGTGGATATAGGGGAGGCTGAACAGCATAATCAGGCTTCAGTTTTTTGCTTAGGCAAAATGCAGTCATAGGGATGAGTGTATTTGTGTGTGTTTTACTGAACCAGAATGAAATCTCTATGTAAAAAACAAAAAGGAGCTCAGCAGTTCAACCATTACAACTCACAATTGATTGTTAATATTTTTTAAAAAACCCCCACAAACAGCGTGAACAACAAACCCCAGTATATGGCAGTAACAAGCAAACCATGGGAAAGGAAACTTATAAATGTTTTGCAGTAATTTACCTGCCCTGCAGTGTCATAAAGTCCCAGCAAGTGTTGTTGTCCTCCCACAGTCACAGTTACTGGAAGAGAGAAACAAGAGATGTTGTTTATGCACAAGCCAGTGGCCTCATTTTTATGTGTTTTAATCCTAAAATGCCAATACACCCCTGTGCTAGACACATTAGCATGTACCTTACAATATGCATCCTAAACCAAGCACATAGATTCAACCCAAACTGAAGGCAACCTAAAGTCACAACAGATGCAAATGCTTTATGCCAAGCTCTTATTTCTCCACAGACAGATGAGCTGCAGACGTTGCTGCTACCAGGGACATAGAGACCGGTGGACATTTGCTTCTGTTCTCTGCAGCCACCAGCAGACCCCCATAAGGTGCTAGAACTTGAAAGCACAGGATTCCTGCCTCCCCGCTATGAGCGTTGGGGTAGGTTTGTCATGGATCAGAGAGGGGTTTTTTTACTATTTTATTTGTTCCAGGCCGCGAAACAATGAAGCATTCAACAGAGGTTGATGTTAGGTGGGTCTCAGTGGAGGTGCGCTGCCTCTTGGACAACCTGTCCTGTCCTGTGTCACGCAATCGCAGGTGGCAGTGCTTAACATGTGGGGCTGTGTGGTGGATGCTTTGAAGGACGGGGAGGAAGAGGAGCACTAATATTTGCAGGGATGTTGAACAGATTCTGTTGGAAATGAAGGAAAGCACGGCTTAGTTTGTTGGTCACACTCAGCACATTTACTCCTTTAGTAAAATTCACTTTGAACTTCATTTTGAGCCCACGGACATTGATGAAAATGTTTTCTCATTGCCTTTGGATGAACCCCGTTATTAGCTGATCTCTGTAATCAGTGTTATTTTGTATAAAGGATAAGATCTGTTAATGACATTTAGTTAACCAGTTAATCTGCTTAAATCATTACTACTCAACTGGAAAGAAAGGGGGGGCGGAATCCAGTTCCCCCCATTAGTCAACAGGAAGACTTTAAACATTCATCAGGGAAGTTGCTCAAAATAATGGTATTCTTGCAGCTACCACTTTTTTTAAGGATGAGAGCGAACGGCTGGTATGAACATAGAGCTATGGCTGGCAGGGAGGCTAAGACGGGTGCCCGCTGGCCACTAACAACTTGCAATTAATGAGGGCTGGGAAAGATTAACAGTTACTTTTGGCAAAGAGGAGGCTTGAAAACATCACACAGGTTCTTGCTGATTTTTTATAAAGCGATAAGACTCTTGTAGGCAAAAAGCACCTACCAGCTTATAGAAGTTAATAGCTCCTGCGCTGGGGAACAATGTCCTGTTTGAAATCTCTTAGTCTTGAAGTCTCTGTCAGTGTGGCTGGACAGACTGATTATTCAGCAGCTTTACTTGCTTGCAAAGCAACACGGTAATTTTGCTAGCATATAAACAGGACAAAACTGACATCCCGAAAGTACAAAGGCTCAGTGAGGACCAGAGTTGCTGATGAGAGCAGGACGGGCCACACTCACCCGCTGCTGGGGCTGCCTTGTGATGCTCAGGGGAAAAAGGAGATGGCAAAGGGGCCAACAGCCCTCCTCCAGTTCCTCAGTTCAGGAGGTAGCTCATACACAGTGCAGCTCCCAGGGGAACTCTAAATGGAGCTAGGAGAATGTCCATGGGTGGAAGAGCCCAGGGAAGAGCTACCAGGGTGGGGAGAAGGGTACCAACGCAGACAGGAGACAGTCCAGATGCTCCATCCCCTTCCTTCAACCTGACTTGAATAAACTAATTTGATTGAAACCTCCCCAGAGCCTTGGCTTTCAACTTTTTGTGGTGTGGGGAGTCTCAAAATGTCCCAGTAGAGGTATGAACTGTGTAAGTTTACTGACAATACGCTTGCTTTTCTTAGCTCCCGTCTCAGAAGCAGTGGGGCCACAGGTGGTCCTGCACAGCTTACCGGAGGCAGCCGGGAGGCGTGAGGTTTTTTTCCAGTTGCAACCTGCCCCTATGCCAAGAAGTGCAGGACCTGTTCTGTTGATTTTACTCCGCTCAAGGACCGACTGTGCGAAGATGTACCCTTCAGCTGAAGACAATTTTCCAGCTGCGATGCGTTAGCCATGCAGTGCTCAGCTGGCCCAGGTGGTGGTTGGGACCGCACGTGAGCATCAGTCGCACTGTCAGTCCTTGGTTGAATTTGTATGAAGCCTGCAGAGCACCTCCAAAGCAGGATGCTCATATGGCAACTGTGTGGCCATGGGGTGCATGGAGGTGCAAGTGAAGTAATGTGTATGATGAATATGAAGAGACGTTTGCCATATGTCAGTACTGACATAGTTATCCAGCTTTGCCTCTCTTCTGGCTAACCCTGAGCGCAGGCAAACTGAGCTGGGCCCCGTTTGCAAAAGATCAGCTCAGGTATTCAGTGTTTTAAAAACTTAAAAGTCACACTGAAATTTACTCGGTCCAGGCTCAGGCTGCTGTGAAGCTTTGCCAGCCCATCTCTTGGAGGCATCTGACTGACAGAGCTACACTGGCAAAAAGCCCTGGTGCAGGTACAAATTGCTGTCTTGTTCCAGTAGTTAATACGGTTTGGAGATAAGCTGTTTGGATAAAGGTCCGACTGTCTCCGATGCGCTATGCTTTGCCAGAAGGATATGCTGCAACAGCTCCTAAACTGTTATCTGTGCTCTGTGGTCCATGAAGTCAGGATGGATATTTTGCAACAGGTCTGTGGAGCCACACACTGAATAGTTATTGATAGTTTTCACAGTTCAATTTGGCCCTTGGTGACCTCTGGGAAATGCTGAAGGGGAATAAAGAGGCTGGTAGTGTCCTACCATTATTCTTCACATACACAAGGGCTAAGAAATGCAAGGGCTTTTGGAAAAATACACCCTGAGTCTACCCAGCCTGCACATCACATTTTAATTCTCCTTATAGCATCCTGCCTCTCATGGGTCCTGCTGTGAATTCCTGCATGGCACCAGTCTTTTTTTCTTTTTCTTTTTCTTTTTCTTTCTTTCTTTTTCTTTTTCTTTTTCTTTTTCTTTTTCTTTTTTCTTTTTTTTGTCTTTCTCTTTTTCTCTTTTTCTTTTTCTTTTTCATCTTCTTTTCCCTATCAACCTTTCTATTTTCTTTCTTCTTGTCAATTGTTCTAAACTATCTAATCGAAGATAGCCTTCCTGTCCACATCACCTCTCTAAGTTTATAGCTATCACCCCAGCAAAATTGTATTGTTAGCTAAACTTCAGCAATAGGCAAACTGCTGTCTTTGGATTCCTGCTCTGAATGCTATGGGGACCAAATGGCTCACACTGACAATTCAAATAATCACTGGCTCTTGAAACAGCCATGTCTAGATTAATGTATTGGTGCTGAAATTTCCACCACACTTTCATGCAGGCAAAACAGATGTCAAAATAAATGGCTTTTCCCTGTGAAAACATCACGGTATTTTTATACTAAGAGTTTATCAGTCTGCCTCTGTCAGGCAAAAGGCTGTTCAGCGTGTCCACTTGGTAGGTCGTATTTATGAGCTGAGATTGCTCTGCTAGATTTGTAGGCCTTACTTTTGGCTTTATCTCAGTTTACTTTTACTTACCCTCTTACTATCTTTTCCTGTTCTCTCAGTGGCCAAGTTTATGGGAAGTCAATGCGGAATTCCTTCCCAGTCACCAGGGGTAATGCAGGCTCCTTTACGGGCTTGTGAACTCGGCTTTATGGGCAGTCTTGGAGTAACAAGTTAAATATGAACTCTCCTTGTCATTTACTGGCCATATTGATATACAGATTAAGCACTGAAACGGCATGGCCTTTAACACCAAGTGCAGTGGGGACTGCAATAAAATGTGGCTGAATATTTGCACAGTCCTGGTTCTCATTCGGCTCCAATCTGGGTTGCGTCAGACTATGCGATGGGGCAGACGTTTTCCTCCTTTCACTGGGTGGTTTTAACCAAGTGCAGGATGTGTAAAATACTGCTTTTAGAATGTTAGTTAGATCATAAATTAGCTGGGTATTGCTTGCTAGAGTTTGAGTAACTATTTTGGGTCATCTCCAGGGCTTGTCGCAGGTCTATGTGCCTGGGGGTTTTGCTAGTGGCCTTCAACACAGAGCTCTGAAACATGCTGTTCCGCTTGAAGGCCACAGTAGAAAGGCAAGGTGCTAGATGGAGTTATTGTGTGGGCTGGATCTGGGGTGTGGACCATGAACTGATCTGAGCTGGGAGCTCTGGTTTTAAGTAAGTGATTAGTTTGTGTTCCTGGGGACAATATGACAATTTTTGTTGATATTCTTGTTGCCCCAGGTTGCCCCAGATCTACCTGGGCACAGATTCCCAACAATAAGTCTTTGCCAAACTCTTCCTACATTGTATTTCATTTGTTCACAGCAAAGCCCTGGTGACTTTGTGGGACTGAATTTTCCCTTGGAAGAGCCTGTCGGCCACACAACAGCAACATCGATGGTCTGCACTGACAGAAAGGGGACATAAATTGTCTGCTGCCCTCCGAGAATCTCTTATCCTTGATTAATAGCGCAAAGCAACATGTAAGTCTCTGGTATGACACCAAACCAGGATGCAATAGCTCAGACACACTTAGCTCTCGTACAGGAGAGTGGATGTGCACATCACAGGGAATTTTTTCATGCCTGTGAAGAAGTGCTTGCAGAACCAAATGACTGTGAAACCACTAGCCAGAATATACACAATAGCTTAGGCAATGTCTAATGTGATACCACATGGGATAAGTCATCTATTTATTCTAGTGCCTTCCTGCCAACAAATTAAGGTCCTGCTGCTTTGGAGAGAGATGCCAGGAGCATGACAGCAAGCAGAGATGGTAGCACCTGCCTGGATGGAAAGGCTTTCTCATTTTTTTGGGCAAATTAGTCTGCGTCAAGCCTCAAACTTTCACAAGGGCCATCTTCTGCCCTTGTCAGCAAGCTCTGACTATTAAGTTTGTGCATTTGTCTATTCGCTATGATTCTATGTACCAGATGCATGTTACTTAACACAGACTAATGGCCACCAGTATAAGAACAACTGCAATTCTGGTTGACCTGCTGGCAGTAGAAATGCCCGAGTCTGTTTCTTTTCCAGCTGGGAAAGAGAGTAAAATCAGAAGATGGACAAAAGAGCAGTTTCTGGTCAGCTGCAGTGGAGTTTAGAT